CGTGGGAGTCCATCGTGAACGCAACGGCAGAGAGAGTGGGAACGAAGGTGGTACGATGTGGGGTATCGGTTAAGTGGTGGGATGACGAGCTGAAAGAAGAAATAGGGGAACGTAGAAAAGTCTTCAAGCAGTAACTGAGTGAGGCGTCTGAGGAGAGTTGGGAAAAGTACAGGGCTTAGGGTGGAAAGAATGAGCAAGTTGGACCGTCAATAAAGTAGTTTTCAGTCTTATCACACAAAGATCGGTGTGTGTACCAGCAAGTAGCAGTAGACATAGGCACATACATGATGTGCGATGTTGCGTAGTTCGGCAGCAGCAACAGACGCCTACGTAGTCTATTGGCAGTAGTTGCATTTAGTCTTGTTTTGCATTTTGCGTCTAGCTCATGTTCTGAAATATGGCCGAACCATGGTCCGATCGTTACCCGGACAAAAATTTACACGTACTATTGGTTTCTTCTGCGGTGCCTTTTCTTCATGCGCGTTTCCGATATTCCGCGTTCATTTCGGCTTCTCCTTAAAGCGTACGTCATTTTCGTATGTTTGAAGTGCGATGGTGCCGACATTCAATTTTCGGGCGCCAAGGTATTTGTTGCGAAATAAATTACACCAAATCAAGTACTTGTTCTGGATTTAAAAACAAGCAAATTACGACCTTCTGCGCTTAATTCCTGGCCGCCGTGTCCATCACGGCCAGTGCACGGCTATTCACACAATGACAAAGATTTTGCTTCCAGGTGGCCGTCCCGCCTCATCGGCGGGGNAGTGAGCAACAGTGATCCTCAAACTAATGTTCGTTTTCATACGCGGCAAGTACGCTTACATTGCAGCTGAACGCGCCACCCAGCAGACCGTGGATGTCGCCGTGGACCTGTGAATAGAGGTCGGTTGAGGCAGCTGTTGAGATCACCGAGCACGAACATCTAGAAGAGGGTGAATGGATCCCCGCGCCCCCACTCTCTAGCACGGGCTGTGGGCACACCCTCTCAGTGGTGTTTTCTCTCCCCGGGGCGTCTTTTCCTCTTCCAAGCCGAACAAGCCGAGCATCCCTGCCCCCCCCCCGGAAAATGACAGGCGTTCTGCATCTACCAACGAGAGTGAGTCGGCAAAAGGGGGCAAACATACCCCATTCGGCCGCAAACACTCCTTTAAGGTAGGGAGATAGAGACGAGGGGTCCTGGAGATAAAAAAAAACAAGGAAATTTCCGAACAAGAGTTCGAAACGTGACGCTTCCTGCAAGTGCATACCTCGCTCTACAGAGAAGGATCCATTTTGGGTCGAGACTCGGTTTCTCACGTTTCTGTTCCTGTTCCGTCAAGCATAGGTGACCACCACATGGAATGACTACCACACAGGATGACTACCCTCTTCCCATGTAGGATTACCACCGCATGGTATGGCTGCCGCAAACGTAGGATTTCCACCAAATGGGATTACCAGCACGTGCGATGACTCTCGATAGGATGACTACCTCACATGTAGGACTACTGCATTGGGTGACTACCACTTACGACTACCGAATAGGATTACCACCACATGGGATGACTACCACGTACGATTACTACCACATTGGATTGCTGCCACACGGGAGACTACCTCATGGGATGACCACGACATGAGATGAGTACCGCATAACATGTGATGACGCAGTGTACGACCCACCGGTGTGTTCTGTTTCTCGACCCCAGTTTCTTCTCCGGGAAAATCTGAGCTCATCACTATTATAATATTAACGTGTCAACTGTGAAGCAGTAGCAGGGCCGGCCGGCACTACCTGTGGCAGGCGAACTGTCACAATACCGTCTCGGCAACAACAACACAATGGTAGAGCATTGCAGGCGGGGATGCGCACTCGAAGAAAAAGTACTCTCGGCGCGGCTGAGATCGCCGTCCGTGTGCAATGTGGCGTTTCCCGCGTCTCGACGAAGTAAAACATATATGGATACCAACTACGGTAACAACCAACCGGCGGCTTGTGTGGGGTGCTAACCAGAGGGTGAGAGAGGACGTACGAACAATACGAACGTCCGCGTTTTCGAGAGGGAGACAGAGCGAGAGAGGAGAAGACACGTACGTACGTACGTGCGCTTTACGTACGTACCATGGTCTCCATGCAGGACTCCCAGCCAGACAGCGTGGTGTGACCGCCGTCGAAGCATTCCACGAACGTCTCGGCCGTCGAGAGAACCGCGTGCGAAGGCAAGCCGCAGAACGAGCTGGTGCGGGACATTCTCGGGAGATCCTGCAACGAGCGATTGGAATGGTTTGCGAGGGGGTCACGCCTGTTGGTACGCTTATTTCGTTTCTTGTGACCAGGCTGTGGTAGTGGCACAGGGGGAGAGAGGACGGAGATGATCGATGAGTTTCGTTGTCCGATCATGGGGTGAAATGCCTCCCCTTCACCCGCATCCAGAGCCCTCCTAACATCAACCATGGGAGGAAGGTACCGGAGAGGGTGGGTTTGGACAATCAACGCACTTCATTATCGACTTCGTAAGTCGCGAGGGAAGGGATTGCTGTACCCTTCTCGCGATAAAAATATCTCAGGCAGGTACCCCAGGAGGGGGTCCAACCCCCCTCTCCTATGTGACCCCGGTTGGGTCGTCCGGCTGGTAGAAGTGGAGGATAGGGGCCAGAGGGGCAGACGACAGAGTTCAATGACGAGACAAATATATATAACTTCCATTGTTCTCCCGGTGACCTAGGATAATACGTCAAAGATATACTGAGACCGGGACCAGAACGAAAATACACCAAGGCTGCCTTTGCCCCCCACCTTGTGAGATGTGACCAGCGGTGCCACGTGTGGGAGCGATCTACTAATGCTCTACCATGTACTGTGCGAGGCAGAAGCAGGGCAAAAACAAATGGACAAGCGACACTAGGTAGGTCAGTTGTCAACGTTGGCACACGGATTTCAGATCATTATCGCCGGAAACCCGGCGCCCGCGTCTGCCAAAACCACCAACAACATGTGTGCTTTCTTGTTGAGAACATTATGCTTCCGTCTCGCTCTCTCTTTTTCTCTTTGTTATTGTCTCTCTCCCCCTGTCCCTCTCTCTGCCTCCCGCAGTAAGGTTAGTCCCCAAGGGTAGCAACGGCCGACCAAGCCATACCTGGTAGTTGTAGGCCGAGGTCACGTAGCCGTAGGCGTTGTGGTAAGGGCCTATCCTGCTGTCCACCAGCGTCCCGTCCGGGTCGAAAATCGTGGAGACGTTGCCGAAGCGGCTCTCGGAGATCGCGTAGCCGTTCTCCGGGGATCCGAAAGCGGAGCCGAACCAGTCGTTGTCGAAGACGACGCTGTTGTACCACCTGTACGGGGGCAACACGTTCATGTGTGTATTTGTGTTTTTCTCATCCCATTTATTTTTCTGGGCGCCGGTATTTTTTTTTATACCTTTCGGTGCATATTTCTGGGCGCACCACCAGCCGGGGTCGCACAGGAGCAAGGCGCGAGGGAATTTTTTTTCTTTTCGCCTTCTTCCTTCGGCAAATGGGGATTCTCCTGAATTATGTTTGCGAGAAAGGAAAGGATTGAACCATTCAAAAAAACAACGCTCACTGCTGTTGTCGCCCACAGAAGAGAGACATTGCTGGTGGTCGTTGCTCGGAGGAGATGAATACAAACACAGGTTGATCGCATGAATGAACGGTGGCAACATGAATTCGTTTGTTAGTTCGATCCTGGGGTCTCTTTTCTGGTTCTTGAACCCTGTAAAGTTGCATCACTCACTCGTGCCCCAAGGAGGCGGAGTCGGTCATGAAATCCCACATCGGAAGCGAAACGCTGGGGTCGATCATCTGAAGGTAGCGCTCCATGGTGAGGTCGAAGGCCGCGTGGCTCGTCAAGAACTGCAGCCCGATGTGGTAGCAAAAGTTTTCGACCTGAGAAGGAAGATTTTATCGAAAAGACTGCGTTAGGGACAAGAGTTGTTCGTGTCCTTTGCCTTCCGACATGCTCAAGTGCGTCAGGCTCGCTTGGCGTCAAGAGGGGTTGGACACGTTCCGGAATCAAAAGCCCACTTGACACCTACCCCCCGCCCACCCGCGGGAGTATCGCAACAACGAAGACGCTGTGGCGGTGCGTTGGAAACAAAACGCAGAAGCCAAAGAACGCCGTGCAGCAGCCCCAATTGTAGACACAATCGAGGGGAGAAAATTGCCACCTCGGAATATCCATGTGGAATGAAAAAAATAAATAAATCGTGCGGAACACCCAACCGCCCCTTCATTGGTGGTTGTTGACCGGCTCGGAAAACATACCAACAGCCAACAAAAAAAATGAAGAACCAAGAGTTCTCACGTCGGCGTTGTGGTATGCAGTGATAGCTTGGTAGTTGCTGAAGCTCGGCCCGTATCTGGCTTTGCCCACGTCAGTCGGGACGGTGTACCAGATCTGCATGGCGTCGAGAAACGCTTCCCTGTCCCTCTCCGTCAGGTCGCGGATCTCGCGCCTGGTTACCAGAGAAAACAAGGCCGCCGCCGCCGCCATAGCGGCAACCGCCGCCGAAGAAGCAAAGCGGCGCCGGTCAGACGGAAGAAAAGAAAAAAGTGTCCGAGAGAAAGGGAGGACAAGCGAAAGAGGGGGGAGAGTGATGTTGAGAACGAGTTGTTGCGTAGAGCTGGGTTGAGATCTCTGACGTGCTCACAGAGCCCAACGGCAGGTTACCGGGGAGGGGGGTGTACTCATGGTCATGCATGCCGAAGTCGTTAGACCATTGACCTCGCATCCCTACAAAGCCGGGACGGAGCACGCCGGGTTCTCACCGGACCAGGCTCTCACATCACCAAGCGCGAAGCGCCGTGAGATATTCGGCGAGTCGCATGAAGGGTGCGCTGCATCCTGCTAAGGGTGTTCGGCATCTTGTGCTTACTTCCTTGCGTACGGATGACAGCTGCGTATGAATTAATTTATTTTCTGGTGCTTTCACTTCCAGAGACAGTTGTAAGCACTGTGTAACTGCCTCGAGGGTGCTTGACCATTTTAACACAACGTGGTGCGATCATCCCCCTTGCGCGGAGTGAGGGTTCTCCACCCCGCACAACATGATCTACTCGACCACCATTATGGTTACCGCCAAAAAAAAAAAACGGAGGAAAAAAAAAAAAACGGTAACCTGGTTGCCGAGTTCACGAAGTGAATTGGCTTGTTTTACAACGTCGTTGCCAAGCGACGAAAACCCAATCCCGATGGCAAACACCGGGGGGGGCGGCTTGTTTTACAACGTCGTTGCCAAGCGACGAAAACCCAACCCCGATGGCAAACACCGGGGGGGCGGCTTGTTTTACAACGTCGTTGCCAAGCGACGAAAACCCAACCCCGATGGCAAACACCGAGGGGGGGGAGGCGGCTTGTTTTACACCGTCGTTGCCAAGCGGCGAAAACCCAACCCCGATGGAAAACACCGGGGGGGGCGAAGTTACCGAGGGAGGGCTTTCATTTGTGTTGTTCCTTGTTCTTCTATTCTACAACGCCAAGCGGCTTGTCCTTGCCATTCTTTTGTCGGTGTTGGCCGAGCGCGTTAACATGTCACGCAGCCATGCGAAACATGATTGCCGGCATCAAATACGTCTCAAGGTCGGACCTTGGGGCTATTTCTTGAACGGTGACCGCGAAAGCCGGGCGAGCTACGTAGATCCCTCACGGATGGATATGCCGACGTATGCCGACGTGCGGAACACATGCCCACCCCTATGAATCGCCCAAAACAGCCTCTTCCATACCGGCAGCTGCTACACTGAATTAGCGTTCTCTCTCGCTGTCTCTCTGTCTCGCTCAGTTTCTCTCTCTCGGCCTCCCTACTCTGTCTGTCTATATGACGGTCTCTCTGTCCGCCTCTGTCTCTGTCTCGCCTGTCCCCCAGCTCTCTCTCACCTGACGTATTTACACGACACCTTGCTATTCCCCTCAGTGATAACCCTTCCGTTCTCGTCAACGCTCTCCACGGACAGGGAGTAGGCCGTGCCCGGTCTTTCTAGCTCTACAGTGACCTGACAATGATGAAAAAGTGGCATTTATTGAATCCTATGCTGTTGCTACAAAACAAGTGGAGGTTCACATAAACATTTCACAAATACCAACAAAAAAAACGGGCAAAAGTTACGTGTGAGTGTAATCTTCTGATCGATGTTGCTCCCGGCGTGACCCTCGGGAAGATGGCCTCGTCAGTGAGCTCAGCGGTGATCCTGCCCGCAAACTCTGCGCAGTTTGTCGACCCCCTCGCAAAATTGCCACCAGTGTTTGGGCAAGTGGTTCACGCGGCGCCGGCCGCCAGTCTCAGCTGCCACTGAATCGTGCGACCGTCATCATCTCGGATCCGCGGCGTTCGCGGACACTCACCTGGGGTTCGCCGGTGGTGCAGTTCCAGGCGTCTCCCACGGTGCCGCTATTCTGCGGCCCCCCCTCCTGGTCCGCGTACCGCAACCGCCACACGTACCTGCAGAAAAGAAAAACAAGGTACTTGTCGTGTAGCGCTCCGTCGCAGTTGACACAACATCTTCAGTGGAGTTGGAAAGCTAGAGTGACATTTTTTCAGAAGCAACAGTTGACGTGTCGCGAGAACGGACTGACTTCGCGCGGACTGATGAGCAATCAGTTACTATGTTTTGGAGGCTATGCGAAGGGGGTTCCGCTTGGAAGAATCAAGTCAAGACTCGGTTCAACAGAGAATATGGCTCCACAGCAAACCCGACGACAAATGCTACCCAAGGCAACGTGCAAAACCTGCTGATGTTGGTTGGTCTAGGGGACTCCAGGGTCGGAAGGCAGACTGAAGAACTCCAACATTAGTGCATAGGGTTGCTGCCTTCTTCGCGAAGCACTGGGCGTGGAAAACGATGTCATTCACTGCTGTGACACCTCATCTATCTTTGTGTTGTATTTTTTTTCTTGGCCTAGCATCATTTGATGAAAGTGCTGGGTGTCCGGGTGAGGCCTCCAGGTCCCGCCTGTGGTCCCCCACCCAAAATTTCCAAGGCTCCTCTCGGGAACGATTTCTCAATTCGGTAACGATTGGTACGGGAATCCGCGGACACGGTAATACACGGTAATATTTGGGTGGGAACTGGCCATCATGGTAACGTTTGGGTGGTTACTGGCCACCACGGTAAATGCACGTAAATACACGGTAATATTTGGGTGGTAACCGCCCAGCACGGTATCTCCCGTACGGGAACTAGCCGCCACGGGAATGCACGGTAATATTTGGGTGGTAACCGCCCAGCACGGTATCTCCCGTACGGGAACTAGCCGCCACGGGAATGCACGGTAATATTTGGGTGGTAACTCGGCACCACGGTAGTGCCGCGGTAGCGGGCCACCACGGTAATCCACCACGGTAATGCACGGTAGCGTAGGATGGAAACACTCCGCAACGCGATGCACTGACTGTGTTGCGCTTTTTTTTCAGTGCGCGTGACACCCAAAACACGCGTTCCACAAAGAACACGAGAAACACACGAATGGAACCAACCTATCGCATTTCGTTTTTCAATTGTTTTGAGACTACAGGCGAAAATGTCGCGGTCGAGTTACCGAAAGACGAGGCAAAAGACAAGGGATTAAACAAACGAACTACATCAGTACGTCCAGAGCGACACCTCCAAATATCCATCATTTCATCACTAACCATGTCTCAGCTACGTGAGGACTGAACGCACCAAACGTATCTGCCAGACGATGCATAAACCACCAGCTACCACGTACATGCATATCGAGCTCAACCACATACATAGTGTACCGTATCTGCGTCATACCGCAAGCAAGCCGTTTAAACACAACAAAAAAGAAACACACCACACTGCGGCAATACAGACTCAAAACACGAAAAAAACGGTTCTCCTTTCGTTTGATGGATCGATAGAAGAGAGATAATAAAAAAAGAAGAACAAAATAGAAAGGGAGACCATGTGGAGTATCGAAAGCCATGAGCAGTGTCGCAGGTGTGTGGTCGACCCCGTCAGCTGTGTGTACGCTAAAACGTGTGTCGTTGCCGTACGGTACCAGGAATTCTATATCTCGCCGTTAGATGCTTGGGTGGTATCCGAAGGCCACGGGATTTCGACATTTTGCACGGTGATTGGTTGGGTGGGAACAACGGATTTTCACGTCCTCGGTAACGATTTGGATGGGAATGGGAGAACGCCATTTGCGCGGTAACGATTCGGATGGGTACGGTAACCGGGAATTATCACAGTAACGTAACCAATTAACCGTTCCCGTGGGAATCCCGCGGGAAAGTACCACGGGAAAATTCCCAAGAGAGCCTTGAAAATTCATAATAATGTCCTCTCCTCCACCTCAGCACATCTGGAGCCTGAAAGCTGCCACACCGAACTTTCGCGCGCCAAGCCACAGTCACCTATATGATTAATGACCGCGGCCTACATAGATAGGGCACACGCTGCTGTGCAGTCAGGTTCGTACACTGGGGGAGGGAGGCCCGTACCCGAGAGTGGGCGTAGAAGTCGAAATCTCTTCGAAGCGCGGGGTGGGGGTAGTATTGACCGTGGACGCTTTAGGCGACGAACGCCTCGCTCACATGTGTGCAGGTGAATCTTCTAGCATCCCCTCGGCGGTGACGGTGGTCGAGCGGAACGGCTCGATCACCATGTCGAGTCCGTACATCTTGAGTGAAGCCTGGGAAGCGGTCCGTCAGCACCGCGGGGGGAACGAACGACAAAATGAATGAACAATTTCGACTACTTACGTGCCGGTCGCGCGGCGGGAAGCGGCGGGTGGCCTTGATGGTTGCGATGTACAGGCATATACTGCAGTAGTCTGTATGAACAGATATGCAAGAGCGATAGCTTCTTCGACATACATGCATACCTTGTCGTACTCTCCGTACTCGTTCGTGGCCCGGAGCTTCAGCTTGGGCGATGACGATATTATCTGTTGAGGCGACCGCGGCGGTTCCTGGTTTGATGGCAAGCAGCAGACGAAAGAAGCAGCGGGTATTACTCACCAAACACCCATGAAAAATCGAACACTATTTGTGAATGCAGAAGCCGGAGGCAACATCAATAAGCTATCAAACCGATCGTGTGCACAACCCTCTGCGTGACATCTCGCGCACGCAAGTGGCTCCTCATCTAGGTGTTCGTGCCAGAGATGGCACCCAGGCGCGCGAAATTAACAAAGCCGTAGCACCAGGAAGGCCACAGCGTGTTTTTATTGGACATCGCACCAGTCGGAGAGGTGGCACAGGGATTTCTTGAAAACCAGACAAAATGAAAAATAATGTAGTGCCGCACAGGGGTCCGGACAAATAGCTGGAATATCGGTCAGGGAGATGGTACCAGAGGGCGCAAAACAAGCCCAGAGGAAAACAACAAAACTTTCGACCACACTCAGTGCCATATCTCTCATCCTTACGATTCGTGGTAATTCATTCGTGTGGGAGGTTTGCCGGGGAAAACCCATCGCGGCAGCGGCAGTGGGATCACTCAGATCCTGCACATCGGGCGCTGGAAAGTGGCGCCAGTAGCGACATGCTACCTCGTGGCCACCGCAACAAGTAATTAATGGGCGACTGCAAGGTGGTGGCGGGAGGTGCCGCAGGTAGAGCTACGCCTACGCTATTTTGTGCCCTGTTGGCAGCGCTCCAACGAGAGCTTTTTTCCGCAAGTAAGTGCGGGTCGCAGGGCTGTCATGAAGCCGCCGGTATTTACCATGACATGAATAGTGAGAACGAAGGAGGAGTCCGGGTGAGATCATCTTGCGCTCGGCACGACGTCGTCCGGCAAGCAAATCCAATCCAATGGATACAACGAACGGCGGACGGGCTTGGCCACAGTCCGGCGGTGCATGAGGCCTCACCCAATCCAGTGCAGTAAATACTATTCTCCCGTTAGAAACACGAAATACTTAGAGCTGTCGTCGATTCCAGATCGCTTCAACGCGCTGCTTCCTTTGGCATCATATTGGTACTGCCTACAATGAATGCCGGCTAGGATACAAGAGAAGACGTGACAAGCTGAAATCATTCTCTCGTATCGGCCTTTCTGTTATCTGGTTGAAAGAGAATTTTCTCAGTAGCGGAGGGTATTAGGGGCAAGGGGGTATTAAGGGCACATTTTTTAAACTCGCATACCTCGGTGCACAATTTGCCAGCCACGAGATACGGCAAGGTGCCCACCAGCCCCGTGACTTGAGTCTCCTCGGACTCCTGCTGCTAGGCATGGCAGAGAGTGGACGCCGCAGCCGCTGCGAAGGCGTGTGAAGCGGTCCGCAGGGGTCTCATGTCACAGAAGGCCGCTGCTGCTGCCCTTTGTCTAGGTAGAACCTCCCTGCAGCGGCGCCTGGGCGGTGTGTGCGCCATGGACGCGAGGGTTGGCCCCGGGACTGTCACGACCAAAGCCGAGGAGGATGCGGTAGAGCTGTACGCTGGTAGAAACTACATTCCTCTCAGCACCGCAGACCTCACGGAACGCGTGAGACTGGTCTGCAACGACGGTCGGCCGATCCCGTGGAAACGTGACAAGGGCCCGGGGAAGGATTGGCTGAGGGGCTTCCTCGGACGGCACAAGCGCGTCAGCAAGCGACTTGCCCGCATCTACGAGTCGAACAGAGTGACCACGCCGGAGGACGAGCGTCTGCACAGGTTCTACGATTGTTGGCGAGAGTTCCTCGCTCGGCACAAGCCGGAGCCCGACCACATTTAGAACACGGACGAGTCCGGTGAGCATAGACTACTGGTGAGACTACTGGTGTAGTGTCAGCGGCAGCAGCTGTGTGATGGTTTGCGGGCTTGTTTCTACGTCGTCAGCAGCAGTGCACNAAGCGCGTCAGCAAGCGACTTGCCCGCATCTACGAGTCGAACAGAGTGACCACGCCGGAGGACGAGCGTCTGCACAGGTTCTACGATTGTTGGCGAGAGTTCCTCGCTCGGCACAAGCCGGAGCCCGACCACATTTAGAACACGGACGAGTCCGGTGAGCATAGACTACTGGTGAGACTACTGGTGTAGTGTCAGCGGCAGCAGCTGTGTGATGGTTTGCGGGCTTGTTTCTACGTCGTCAGCAGCAGTGTACAGCAGTTTGAAGATTTGGCAGAGTTCTGCTGGTGTAATTTGGAGTTCCCCCGCATCCGCAATGCGCATGGTGCACATGGTGTGCTCAGAGAACCGCTGCTGGATGTACGCAGGGTGCTGTTCGGGTGTCTGTAATTAGATATGACGGCAGTAAAGAAAAACGCTGCTTGAAGAGAAGGTACATGTTATGTCGGCAGCAAATACATGCGCTGCTTGAAGAAACGACACATGTTCTTTGGCATCACACACCCGGAGTTGATGTGTGAAGTTGAAGCTACGTGCGGTGTTGCTGCTGTGCGCATCTTACTCACCTTCGACTGCTGTTGCTCTGATTGAAATGAAGCCCAGATTTTTTTCACTCAAGACCCTCAGACGAAAGACTAGACTAGACTTTTGCACTTCTCACTGCTTTTGTGAAGCAGCTCTACAGCAGCTCAAGAACATCTTACACGTGAGGACATTCCACCCTGTCTAGTCTAGACTACCCCTAGCCCGTTCCCCCGCGCCCCCACCCTTGGTGGGCTGAACGTTGGTGGTGCGTGTGTGCGCTGTTCATCCTGTTCTTACTCTCCTTCCGCTTTGACCCCCCCCCCATGCGCGCTTCCCCCGGTGTTTGCCATCGGGATTGGGTTTTCGTCGCCTGGCAACGACGTTGTAAAACAAGCCAAATTCACTTTTTTTTTTTTTTTTGCCTTCCGACAATTGCAGATGTACCTCAGAAAACTTTCACTTAATGTCTCATACTCTACATGAATATTAAACCAATACGAAGTACAACAACATATGTAGGACTTCGTGAACTCGGCAACCTGGTTACCGTTTTTTTTTTACCTCCGGTTTTCTTTTGGCGGTAGCCATAATGGTGGTCGAGTAGATCATGTTGTGCGGGGTGGAGAACCCNCTGTCTAGTCTAGACTCCCCCTAGCCCGTTCCCCCGCGCCCCACCCATGGTGGGCTGAACGTTGGTGGTGCGTGTGAGCGCTGTTTATCCTGTTCTTACTCTCCATCCGCTTTGACCCCCCCCATGCGCGCTTTTCCGCCATAAACTATCATTGTAGGTGGCACCATTCAAGGTACACAGCGACAGCGGGTCTTCGCGGAACGGGGGCACCTGGGGGTCCCCGAGATGCGCTCCACCTCGCGAGAAATCTACACGATCGTCACTACCATCAAGCGAACGGCGCCGTGTTGGCCCCTACCATCATCTTCAAAGGGCAACGCTTCAACGCAGATTGGGTCGTGGACAACACCGGCCCGCCGGGTGCGACGTATACCTGCACGGAGTCGTCCTTCATGTGTGGTGACGTTTTCATCAGTTACATCAAGGACTTCCACAAGCAGCTCTTCCTGCGCAACTTGCTCGACGGAGAACCCCATGTGCTCGTGCTGGATGGGCACGCGTCGCACGTGAGTTTGGACGTTGTTGAGTTGGCCAGGTCCCTCGACATCCACCTCGTCCAGCTGCCCTCCCACATGTCCCACATCACCCAGCCCTTGGACGTCGCCGGCTTCGGGTGCTTCAAGAAGGAGCTGACCAAGGCGATCCAGGCCTTCCCGGCGACACACGGAGGGGCATTGCCGCGGAAGCGGGACATGGCCGCCGTGATCGGGCAAGCGTGGAGCACGAGCTTTACCCCGGAAATCAACATGGCTTCCTTCGCCCGGGAGGGCCTGTGGCCGGTGGAAAGGGAGTGAGCACTCGGTCGGCTGCTGCGCCCGAAAAGGAAGGCAAGGGAAGACGACCGCCCTCCCCTGCAGGACGTCCCCATCGCCGTGAGCAACGATCAGCTGGAGAAATTGATGGGCGATCGCTCCGTCCCCAAGCTGCTGGCAGAAGGCCACACTATCACGGTACTCCTCGTGAGCACGGTGTTTCTCAGCGACTTCCTGCCAACAAGCGTTCCAAGAAGCCGCCGACCCGGGCGAACTTGGGCATTCCAGAGGGAGGACTCCTCACTGCTGACGGTTGGGTGGAGCAGATGCCGAAGAAAGAACGCGAAGCGAAGGCTGCCGAGGCCGATTCGGAGGCAAGGGCCGCCGCGAAGCAAACGGCGCGAGAAGCGAAGGCGGCGGCGGCGCGGAACGGCGGGCGGGGGACGGGGCAGGAATAAGGGCAGAGAAGAGGGCGGGGAGGCGGGCGGCGAGAGGAGAGTGGGAGGGTCGAGCGGAGCGAGAGAGAGAATGGGCGAGGTGTTGGTGTTGTTCGAGCAGGACGAAGGGGGCGAGGGGGGCGATTGGGGGGCGCGCACGGGGGGGGTGTACTCATAGTCGTGCATGCCGTGGTCGTTGGACCATTGACCTCGCATCCCTACAGAGCCGGCACGGAGCACACCGGGTTCTCACCGGACCAGGCTCTCACATCACCAAGCGCGAAG